GGTCCGGGCTGGGGATTCGAACCCACCACCTTAGGTGTACGTGGCTGGCGCCTTAGCCGGTTGAGCTATAGGCGCCGAGCCGGAGTTGTCTTTTTTCACTGGAGGATAGTCATTGGCTTCAGGTAACAGCATTCAGGCTAAAATGCAAGATAGTCAGTTAAACTTCATGATTCCGAAAGAAATCAGCAAGCTTTATGATTTACAAACAAGTCAGTGTCCTTTTCAATGTCAGTAGATTACATATTAATCAGCATGTGCACAGTTTGAGGAACTGATGATAAGATTTGAGGGACTCACAGTAAGATTCTGTACTCAGGAATAGGATGTGAGCCAAGAATCATAAAACATTCCCCAGGAAGTGAATTTGGGAGCTGGCCAAATGTGCTGTGGAGGTCATCAAGTGTAAACTCCATAGAAAGGGCTCTTCTGAATACTATATCTATACTAGTCTGCTTCCCACTCCCCATATGCTTACCTTCTTCACCGAATTTGCTTAATGTTCTGCACAAAATTTATCAGGTATAATTTATTTTATTACAAACCTGTTTTATCCATTATCATACATATTCCAAGGTGAAAGAGATATTAACTTGCTTTATTCACTGCTGTGTCCTAGCCCCTAAGTTTCTAGCACTATAAAAGGTGCTGAAAAAATGTTTGTTGAATACATAAATTTCTGTAACAACTGGTTAATAACCCATTGATTCATTGGTTGCCTTCAGCACTAAATCTTGACAAACTTACACAGCAATTTGATTTGGTGGCTCTAATAACCTTTTCCCAATTTGGTTGAAAATCCCTCCATCAAATCTCAGGTATTACTCCATCCCAAGAATCAGCTTTACAAAACAGCTATGTGTGATTGATAATGGAATTTCTTCCTCAGTAGGTCCTTGGTGTCGGGGATTTGAAGAATGAATTCACACACCACAGATCAGTGGTAAGACAGGATTTTATTAGATAGAAAGGAATATGAAGCAGTAAAAAGCACCAGAGCCTCCGGCAAAGGAGAAGACCCAAGTCAGAAAATCTCTCATGGGCCCTCTGTCTAGGGGTATATATTGTCTGGAGATTTACATTTTGGCTAAGATTTGGTAGGTGAAAAAATATCCTTTCAAAGTTGAAAGCAGTTCCTCCCCTGGGACAAGGTCACTAGGTCCCTATAGTTCTTGTCTATAGGGAAGGGATTAGGACGCATGTTCCCTACTCAAGGTGGAACCACCAAAAAAACCATCTCAGTCTGCTTCGTTCATGACCTTGTTAAAGCCCAGAGGGTGTGGTCTGGAAAAGGCAGCCTGTTTATGCCCGGAAATGGGGGTTTGATTTCTGAGTTCACCTGGGCCTAGAGAATGGGGGGATCCTTGTCCAGATCTGAGTGGTGGAATCCTGCATCATGATGATACTTGAATGGGCATTGGAAAGTCATTTATTCATTCATTCCTCTATCAATACCTACCTATCTTTCTAACGTGTGTAGTTGACATTATGTATCTTCAGAGATTCATTTCCTGTGTCTTCAAAGAATTGCATCTTAAATTCTGCTAAATAAACTTTTGGATTGGCTTGCTAGATTTTAAGTTTAAATAAAAATATCCTATTAAGGAAATCATCATATCTTGTCCAGGAAAATTTTATAAATTATATAATTTATCTCGAAGCAATTGAAATTTTGGATGAAATTGGACATGTGGAAGCATACATTTTAAGGGGCAAGGAGCGCTGCCTTGTATCACCGAAATCATGTATTGGAATTACATTATCAATTTCTGTTATAAGAAAGGGTAATAAAAATAGAAACATGGCAAGTAACAGACCCCTAGTGTTTGACATTTATTTGGATAGAGAGTCATAACTGTAGTACCGGTAAGTATAACGCTGATTTAATCAATATGTTGGTTCACAAGATGAATCCATTAAACTTCAGCTTCAGGGTTTGGGAAAACCCTTTTGAAGGAGAGCTATCGGTGGAAGGTAGATTATTCCAGACCAATGCAAGGAACAAATCTAGAAAATTTGTATTTTTAAGAGATTGCCAGACTGAGTCTGAAACAGGACAAGTTTCAGGTAGACAGAACAGCAAAAGTAAGGGCTCAGAGGTAGGGCTGAGTCTAAGTGGGAAGAGTTGAGAGAGAATGTTGGCAATAAGACCAGAAAGACAATTTTAGGAGATGCCCTAACTCCAAATCATTTCTTTGAGACAACTGAAACCTAAAATCATTACCTAAATGCTTTGCCCAAGGAGGATATACAAAACAACGTTACCAATAACGTTACCTGGGATTTAGCACCAGGTCTCCTGTGTTGTTTCCACTATACCGGGTGGAAGCTAGACCATGAAGCGTTGAAATATCTGTAAGATGAAATTTTTGATAGGCGTCTGTCCTAGTCAACTGTGGCTATGAGGCCACTTCTAAATCTTGCTGATGCTGGACCTCCTAAAGTCTAAGGGATTACGTTTTTTGGCCTCGACATAAAAACGTTGGGCATTCGCTCTCTACTACGATTTATTAACACATGCGATAATTATACATCTTTCACAGGTCTGTAAGGGCCACGTAAAGTCGCTTTCCACGTAAAAATGCCATTCCCCAGCATTCCGCAAAACACTCGGAGACGTCACCACTGTTCAAGTACTGGAGGGCTACGCGCCCGGGACCACACCCTCTGCAGCCGAAGCCCCGCCCTCCAGCCCTGTCTCTCCATTCCTTTTTTCCGGAGCGTGATAACGTAAGACGTAGGTCACGCACTCTTAGCAACTGGTCCCGGAAGCAAAAGGCAGACAGGCTGCGAAGAAGGCGGAAGGGAGGGTCCGGGTAGGACGGCAGGGGGCGGGGCCGGGCATGGTAACGGCTCGAAACCCGCGGGGGGCTGGGCCGGAGGGAGGCGGAGGAACCGGTACCCGCCGCCGCCGCCGCTGCTAGTGCTGCTGTCGCTCTACCCTGGTCCGTGTGGCCCTCGTGGGCCCCGCCTCAGCCATGATGATCCACGGCTTTCAGAGCAGCCACCAGGACTTCTCCTTCGGGCCCTGGAAGCTGACGGCGTCCAAGACCCACATCATGAAGTCAGCCGATGTGGAGAAGTGAGGCTTCGGGACGTGGGGTCCGGGCGTGGACAGGTTTCTGGGCGAGGGTGGGAGGCCGGGAGAACTCGGTGCAGCCCCTCCCCTTCCCCCTGGGGCGGAGGCGTGGTCCCTCCGGACTGGACCTTTGATTGACAACTTCGGTAAATAATCCTACCCCAGCCTCTGGACCTTTGGTTGGAGTTCGCGAAGCGCTGCAGTCGTGAAACGGTCACTCTGTTGGGTTTGAGCAGAGCATGACTGTTCTGGTGGACTTTGCCCTTAGCCAAACGTCTCTTCCTGCCCCAGCCGGCGCCACCTTTCTTTCTGAGTGGCTGTGACCTGTTTTCTTGGGGGAGGGGGATTAATGGAATGATTAATATATAATATAACCTAAACAATATAATATGTAATTAATGAATATATATTTCATTTTAGGCGTGTCAGGTGATGTGCTAGGCACAAATAATTTACAGTTTCATCACAGGGCCAGATTGACAGATTACACGGCGAATAACTGTTTACGATGAAAACGTGCGTGCGGAGTGATTTGAGTGAGATCTTTAAGAGGGGGGAGCAAAGCATCTGGGAAATTGGGATGCCTGAATGAAATCTTGACAGAGTTTCTGGGAGAGGGACGGGGGATTGAGTCAGGGAAGTGTGTAGAGCTGGAGGTCAGGGAGAGTGAGAGCTGTGGTGTGTTTGAAGAGCTGTTTTTGTGCGTGGTAGTGACCCTGGGGGAGCAGAGATACTCAGGGAATTTTTACGCCAGGCTAAGGAGTTTAGAATTTTATCCGGCAAACTCTGATTGTAATTTTATACAAAGGGGATACATTATCAGATGCACACCCTGAAAGATTTCTTTGGAGGTGATGTGGCGGGTAGATGAATTGGAAGGCTGCAGGACTGAGAAAACCAGTTACTAGGTAGAAGAGAGAGTAGAGAGGTTCTAGAAACTTAATTTCTTGGATTTGATGGCCACTTGATAGGAAGGGATGGCCTTTGATAGGAAGGGAAATAAAGGAAGACTCTATACTGATGGCAAGATTTCTGGCTTGGGCTGTTGCATGAATAGCATTGCCATGGAACAAGGTGAGAAGCACGGAAGGAGAAGATTGGAGACGAGGCGTTGGATTGAGAATGAGTTTAGTTTGTTGAAATGTGAGGTGGATGTGGGTCATAAAGTGGAGATGTGCACTAAGCATTTGGATATCTTGGAATTCAAAAAAGATGGTGTCTTTGGGCTTAGGTTTGAGAATCATCAGTTTATAGTTGATATCTTGGAGCCTTGGGTATGGATTAAGATTACAAGATTATCTAGAAGTCATCCAGAAGAAAAGGTCAGGAGATAGAACCCTGGGAAGCATTTGCATTTTAAGATTAAGGCATGCGTGATCAGGGAAGAGAGGTGAGTCAAAAAATAAATGAATTGTAACATTCTTAGATGTTCATTGAAAGAAATGAGGAAAATGCAGAATAGAAAGGGAAAAACTTTGCTTCATCTCACTGCAGGTTGAATTACTCTTAGTTTTTCTTCTCCAAATACTTACACTATATAAAACAGCTTCAAATTGGGGTACCCAGATAATTTACTTGCAGACTTTTCAAGAGGTGCTGTATACATGGACAATCTAAGGGAATCAGATTTTAGATCAGTAATCTTATATATTACTCTAAAATAGATGTGCTTGAGCATACTTAGTCCTTTTTTCATATGACAAAAAGAAGACTTAATCTTCGCCCATCCTTAACTTTTCTACGATGCATTGTTGTAGGGTATAAAAACCTCCAGGATGCTAAATAGATTAGGTAAAATACTGGGTTTAGGAAGCTTCCTTTCTTCTTGCCCTTGCAGAGGCTTCCTGTCTTCTTGTCATTACTGGTTATTAACATCTATTAAGAGTGAAGCTGGATGTTAGAAATGGGGCATTTTGACCTGTTTCTATAAACTTTTTAATTTTATTTTTAATCATGATTATTTTTCGAGACAGGGTCTTGCTTTGTTTCCCATGGTGGAGTATAGTGGCATGATCATAGTTCACTGCAGGCTTGAACTCTAGGGCTCAAGTATTTTTTTACTATTGTAAATAAGGGTGATAAGTATTAATGTGTATAGGTTTTTTCCAGTATTTGGGGTTATTTCTTTAGTGCAGGTATCCCAAAGCTGATATTTTTATTTTATTTTATTTTTTTATAGAGCTAGAATCTCACTGTGTTGCCCAGGCTGGTCTTGAACTCCTGGCCTTACACAATCCTGTTTCAGCCTCCCACAGTGTTGAGATTACAGACATGACCCACTGTCCTGGGCCACAAGGCTGGTATTTTGATCAGAGGGTATGCATTTTATTAAATTCTTTGTATTTTTGCTTGATTGCTTGGGTGGAATGTAAGTTGCTATAATCCATCTGGAAATCCATATAAGCAAGTGCTGGTTTTCCTTACCAGTGCCAGGAGCTTTTCCTTTCTTCATCAACACCTTTTGAAACTACAAGAAGTTGAGCATTTTACTGGAAGAATTGTTTACCTATAAGTGATAATATCCTTTTTTTTTAGAGGAAAGGATTTATTTCTGAAGGTGAGCACCCTGATTGGCTGAGTCTTCTCCTTATTTATTTATTTATTTTTAGGGACAGAGTCTCACTTTATTGCCCTTGGTAGAGTGTCGTGGTGTCCTAGCTCACAGCAACCTCCAACTCCTGGGCTTAGGCAATTCTCTTGCCTCAGCCTCCCGAATAGCTGGGACTACAGGCACCTGCTATAATGGCTGGCTATTTTTTTGTTGCAGTTTGGCTGGGGCCAGGTTCAAACCCACCACTCTCAGTATATGGGACTGGGACCCTACTCACTGAGCCACAGGCGTCACCCAATATTGCTGTCTTGTCTTCATTGCTAATATTAATATAGTTGTTTTGTAAGAACAAAAAGTTCACTAGAAATCTGGTGTTTGTGGACACACTATGAGTGTTGAGTCATCTCCTAGGCAGTCATAATGGAATTAAAGCCGTTTTTATTTTGAAACTTATTGGGCTTTGATAATTCAGGAACGAGATAGATGTTTCCAATAAGGACCAGTGTTTTTGCCATCTAAAACCCAAATTGTTTAATTCGGTCATGCAGGGTTTTTCACTTCTTTGTTTTTCACCTAAGAGGGCTGTCTGGAAAGTATCCAGCTGTGTATGTCTATTTTTCATATTACAAGACTGTATACTTTCCAGATACCTCACATATATACATTTGAAATATATACAAACGCCGTTTGGTATATCTAATTGGAATTAGATTTAAGACTTTTTTTTTTTTTTTTGAGACAGAGTCATCACTCTGTTGCCCCAGCTAGAGAGTAGTGGTGTGATCATAGTTCACCACAAGATCAAACTCTTGGGCTCAAGTGATCCTCAGCCTCCCAAGTAACTGAGACTACCCACCACCCAGGTAATTTTTTCTAAATTTAGTAGAGATAGAATAAAATAAAAAAAATAATTTTTTTCTAATTTTAGTAGAGATAGAATATCCCTCTTGCTCAGGCTGCTCTCCAACTCTATATCTCAAGCAGACCTCCCATCTTGTTCTCCCAGTGTACTAGAATTATAGACCCGAGCCAGCAGACCTAGCCTGGAAATAAATTTAAACAATTGAAAAGAGAGTGAATGTGGACTTGGGATATGTGCGTGAATCTATTTTTGGCTTTTGTTGTTGTTGTTGTTTTGTAGAGGCCGAGTCTCACTTTATCGCCCTCGGTAGAGTGCTGTAGTGTCACAGCTCATAGCAACCTCCAACTCCTGGGCTTAGGCAATTCTCTTGCCTCAGCCTCCCGAGTAGCTGGAACTACAGGCGCCCGCCACAACGCCCAGCTATTTTTTCTGTTGTTGCAGTTTGACCAGGGTGGGGTTTGAACCCACCACCACCCTCCGTATATGGGGCGGGTGACCTACTCACTGAGCCACAAGTGCCGCCCACTATTTTTGGCTTTATGTGAGAATATTTTTTAATATAGTCTTATTTTACTTTATCTGAAATTATAGCTATATAATGTAGTTGTTAAAAAGTCCAGCAGTCTTAAAGAAGAAAAAGAAACCCTTCAGATCTGCTAAAGTAGCTGTCATAAAGCACTTGCACTAAAATCAGTGGTTCTCAACCTTCCTAATGCCACGATGTATTTTCATTGGTTACAAAGGGGTTGCAACCTACAGGTTGAGAACTGCTGACTAAAATCATGTACATCCATTAGAACAGGGGTGTCTAACACCTGGTGCTTGGGCTGCATGTGACCAGGACAGCTATGAATATGGCCTGACACAAAACTGTAAACTTGCTTAAAATATGGTAAGATTTTTTTCTAGTTATTATTTTCATGGAACTCTTTTGCACAGTTCTCAAGCTTGAACTTTGTAGATGAACATGTCATATCCCAACGTGACATAAAATAAACATGCATACCCTCTTGCAATTTATATGCACATGTGGCTTCCAGGGCCTTATCCTCCATGCATGGTCAAATTGACACCATCAGACATTGCATGTGTTTGTGATGCCTTGGTAGTGATTATCAATAGTATTTTAATCTTTTAACTGACTTAAATAACATTAAATGCAATGTTAACCATTGCAATGTTAGGCATTTAATGTTATTTGAAAGTCAGTTAAGCATTCGTATTTGATTATTGAGGGTACATCCACACCTTGGCAGTGCCTCACACATTGGCCGGCCCTTGCTTTACAATCAGCCTTCTGCCTCACCCTGCATCAGCAGCTGAGATGTGGAAGGGTCCAAACTTTGCTTTCTATTTTCCTGTCAATTAATTTTCATAATAAAAATAAAGTCTCTTACCTATTACTGTTTTTTAAATCCCAGCATGGCTACTATGTCTCAAAATAGAACCCCCCAAAGTAAAAATTGTGGATGAAGGAAGATTGTTCAATGAAAAGTAGACAAATAACTACTTTTTTGTCGAATCAAATAGTAAGGCACTTACCTTAATTTGTAGGATATTTGTGCAGGTTTTCAAAGAGTTTAATTTGAA